ACATAGGTCCTGTTAGATTCCTCGGCTGGGAACCTCGGGATACTCGTAACCGATGGTTAGAGACACTGAGTGATATGGCTGGGTGTCGTAAACAGTGGCGTTCGTTCATCTTGTCGATTTCTCGGCAAAATTAGTGCAATGAATTTCTAAATTTTCTCTTTGATCCTACTTTGAACCTTTCCTGTCGTTCTCCTCATGTTCATCAAAATGGGCAGCCGAACGACAGCAACCAAAACCGGCACACGATAGTGCATGGTTAATGGCGATAGAAACTGAAGTTTGGATGAGGCTGTGAAACCCTCATAGTGTTGTGAGATACTACTCACTAGTGAGCAGTCGGTAACTTTCGGTGATTAAAAATAGAACAAGACCATCAAGGACCAAGTAATATATTTGGGAAGAATAAACACTACCTGCTATACCCATTGCCCCATGTGTCGCGATGTGCTGCGAAGGCATGTTTCTGATGAGCTTTTCGTGTTATGCATGCAAAATTAGTGACCTTCAATCTGTATTCTGCAATAAAGAACTCTGCTCAACCAGCACCGCCTTTTCGGAATATAACAATAGGACAGACCATGAGGCTGAAGAAATAAAAACTCAGATTAGGGGTTAGAAGTACATTCTTCGCAATAAGAGGCTGTAAATTACTGGAATAAACTGCCCGGCGAAGTAGAAGTCGATGAGGTAGGACAATTCAAGCTGCAACTTGAAAGAGCATGGGGTAACACATTTAGCGAGGAATTAATCATTTTCGGCGTTTCGTAAAGCGTATTGTTACGATTTTGTATTACCCCGTATCTATTCACAAAGAGTTAGACGGGTGTTTATTTAAACATTTTTGTTTAACTTCGCATATCCCAAACAAAATGTTCTAACGCATATGGGGCCCATAACTGCGGGACTTCAAACCAAGCACTCAGTGTGTGAAGACCAGAAACAAAGATAGGAGACAACTGTTTCGTCTATGCGCGACCAATTGTATGCGTTACCTCGTCAAGTGAACACAACAGGTTGGTAAAGCAATAGCGTCTCCTCATGAAGTCGTGTAGTCAGAATCTTGGTT